GGCTTGGTTGGTTTTGGCCTAATTAACTTGGCTTGCATGGCTTGACTAGTTCAGCCCACGAGTCTCATTGACGGTTGGCAATATATATTTCTTCGTCGCATCCTTTCTTTCTAGGTCGTTAGATCTTTGTATGATTAGCATTGACACCATTTTGTTGTACATATTTTAATTCGTCAATTCTCTCATTTTTTTGAAAGTGATGTTGAGGTAAGAATAAAATAATTTAATGTAAAAGTAAAGCTCATTCAATTTTAATTAATGTTTCAATGATTGGATTCCCTTGCTTTCAATGCCTTTTTAAAACTAAAGCATCGGGATACCTTCCCATGTCTACTTTGTGTTTTTCTTTATATGAGTTGGTCATTCTTTGTGTCTTCTATTCTATGATGGATAAAATGACAAAAGCACATGGCGACATTTCCACAAAGGACCCGCTCTATACCGCTTTCAAAAGATTGAAAGGACGGGAGCGTCCAAATGATAAAAAAAGAGAAAAATCTATGTGAGAAAAAATGGTCAATTATATGTTCTTGTTCGGGTCAGGCTAGAGGAGTTTGTTATGTTTTTGTCAATCGACAAATTTAAGTTTTTGGGATTAGAGATTAAGGTGAAGCATTGAAAGCAATGTTTACGTGCTTGGTCCCAACTGGGGACTCCCCTTCAAGGGTGAAGGCCAAAGTGTTGCTCGAGGCAAACAAAATCGGTGTGGACAAGTTGTCGATTTAGTAGTATTTAGAGTTAGCACTTACCGCCATCTTTCAAAGAATCAGGATGAATGAATTAATCCTGATAAAGAGACTAACTTTCATGGAGGAAATTGAGAGCTTTATTCCTCTTGCAGGTTCTCAGGACATCTCGTCAACTAGGTGCTGAGATGGTGGCTGGTCATCATGAGGGGGATACCTCAGCAAGTGTTTAGGCGATAAAGCTTGCTAGTTCTTTGGGAGCAACTCCATGATTCTTCTCGTTATCTAAGAGGGGTGAAGCCATCTACCCCATCTTTATTGACTCGAGTGGTTCTCCCATAGGGACACTGGATCACTGAGAGGTCATCTGACATAATTGGCGGTGGAGCATCCCACCGAGCCAAATCAGTCTTAAGGTCCCTCAGTCTAGGAGAGAGATCGTCGCCAGGGGAAAGCTCCGACTACTAACTCAAATGAGCTGGAAGAATAATTTTGCTGAATTTTTTCTTTGTTAACTTTGTTTCTAATAATATATGAATAATGTTGAGAAATTAGGGTGAAAAAATAGGAATCGACACAAATCCAGAAAAACACACAAAGATTTAATGAGGTTCCGCAAATATGCCTACATCCACGGAGTTGCAAAGAGTTTTACTACTTGAGGAATATACACCAGTCGATCATCTTGACTTACAAGAGGGGACTCTCACTTCCTTGCTCTCTTCTTCTCTCTCTACACAGAGATAAATCGAAGAAGATAAACTTAGAAGAGAAATAAACCCAATTTCTCTTCTGCTACAAGCCACCAAGAAGAAGCCAGGGGAGACCAATCTTCTTCTTCTTGCGCCGAAAATTTTCTTCCCTGCCCTAGAACCTCACTCTGATACCACTTTTATAGATTTTGATGACGTATCACCTTTCTCCCCAGTCTACTTCTTGAACTTTTGACAATCTCTCTTCATATGAACTGACACATTGCACTTGTAGCAATGAATTGTCTTTTTTGCCTTTGAACTTTGATATGAAATTTTGCCTTCCAGAACCTTCCTTATCTTTCTTACTTCCAAGATCAGAGTAGTCATCAGGTGTTCATTGGAAGAAGGAAATGAAACACAACAAAATCATTATTTGATCTTTACCCTCAATACTCACATCAAACCGTGATAGATCTGTGATTATTTGATTGAAGACATTCACGCGTTGTGCTAGATCAGAATCTTCTTGTATCTTCAGCCCATATAGTTTTTTGGTTCAAATACAATTTATTCGTCAAAGTTTTGGACATAACCTGAGTTTCCAATTTCTTTCATACATCCCTTAGAAATTTTAGATTCATCACGTGATACATAATCTCATATGTCAAGCACAAGCGTATAGTTATTGCCGCTCGTTGTTGCAAATCTTCCAAATCTTCATCCTTCATGACATGTGGTATCGTTGTTCGCAAATCCTTCAGGATCCATTGCTGCACCAACAAATCTTTGACTCATGTTTGCCACAACCCAAAGTTACTAGTTTCATCAAACTTCACCACCTCGAATTTTGCATAAAAAATTATCATTTGAAATTGATCATGCAATGAACTCTTCTACAAATTCCTCTGCCTTAGTAATCTTTCACGGAAGCCGAAATTCCTTCCCGAAATGCTGTTATTTCGAGAAGAAATCACAAACTTGAATCCCTCACGAAACCAAGATGCTGCTTCAAAGCCAGACTCCTTCACGGAACTCCTTCTCGGGACCTGTCTGCCTCGGTTGCGAACAGGAACCCGAGGTGTCGAGCAGTCGCCCCTGTGTTCGACGATTGTCTCGACTTACAAGAGGAATCTCTCACTTCCTTGCTCTCTCTTCTTCTCTCTCCACATCGAAATACACCGAAGAAGATAAACTTACAACAAAAAATAAACCCAATTTCTCTTCAGTCACAAGCCACCAAGAAGAAGCTAAGGGAGAACAATCTTCTTCTTCTTTCTTCTTCCTTTTGCCGCATGGAACTACTGCTTGCACTTCTCTTCCTTTGTCCCGAGGAAGCCTGAAGAAGAACACCAAAAAAGCTGTGCAAAATTTGAAGGAGAGTCATGCAATTTCTTCTTCTGGTTTGAACCACACGCACCACCAGGAACTGCTGCATGTTCGTGACTTATAACGAGTGAAGGGATGCTTCGCTTGACGAAACAGGGAAGGCGGAAACGGGCATAGGCGGGAACAGTTCGCGACAAAAGGGAGTGGGAATGATTTGGGATGTTTCGCGACAGAGGAGCAGGAGCGGGAAAGAGGTCGCGAATCAGGCTCCATCCTTAACAAATCTCCCATTTGGAGACAAGTACATAAACAACAACATCTCCTTCTTCAAACTGATATCTTCCACTAGCGACGTTGCCTTTTTCTTCAAACAGGAATCCTCCACCCCTGCAACTCAAAACCTTTTTCTTCACACCAGAAGACCAATTGAAGCTGTGCACAATTTCAATTTCTTAAGAGTAACACCCTTAGTCAACATATCAACAGGGTCTACACAGTCTTGCACCTCCAAGCTATTTGAGTTCTTATCATGTCATCTCCCTCTGAAATCAATATTCAGTGCTGATCTCGTACCTGAGATCTCGCCATAATCTTTTTTGCGCATCTCCTCAGCTAAAATCAAATCACGAATATCATCACATTTCAGTTTAGATTTACATATAGAATTGGTAACTGTTATCCTTATGACTTCCCAACTATTTGACAATGATGCCAACAATATCAGAGCACGTATCTCATCATCAAAATCAATTTCAACATACGACAATTGATTTGTTATAGTATTGAAATCATTAAAGTGCTGAACAACAGAAACATCTTCTGTCATCTTCAAATTGAATAAGTTCTCCATCTAATACACCTTGTTATTCGTCGATAACTTTTCATGCATACCTGCCATGAGATTTGCAGTCGTCCTCTTCTTGACGACGTTGTGTGCAACGGGCCTTGATATGGTCAATTGAATAACCCTTAGAACTTGTCATTCCAACAAATTCCATTCAGCCTTATCTATTCTTTCAAGTCTTTTCCCCAATAACGGAAAATAAAGTTTCTTCCCAATCCTCCAATAATCACATAAATCTGTGTGTTCCACTGTGTTGCTATCTTGTGATGTGAATTTCCTCGTTCTATTTTTCGTTTCATCGTAAATCTGTGTGTTCCACTGTGTTGCTATCTTGTAATGTGAATTTCCTCGTTCTATTTTTCGTTTCATCGCCGATTATTCTATTTTATTTATATATGTATACCACAACAAATAATCAATCATTTATATAATAAGTTTAATTAAAAAGAATTCATATTACAGTAAATTTATTGAAAAAATGATCATTCTTAAGAAATTTATGTTAATATATTATGATCTAAACTTTGAAGTGATATTTGGGATCAAATTAAACTAGAAGGATAAGGATATATAATACCTAAAACATTAGGATTTATATATTTAATATATAAACTTTTCTTATATCATTAAGCACATTGTTGGCTCTATTTAACTCCATCGACTATGATCAAGACAGAAAGCAACTAGAGTCAAGCAGGGCAAACTAGGAGTAAAGACAAGGTTGACTATGACCAAGATAAGGTCGAGTCGGAACATAGACAATGCCAACTAAGAATTTGGCAAAGCCAGTTAAGATCAGATCTAATGGCAACTAGGTTTATACGCTCATCTAAAATTGCTAGACAAAACCAAATAAAATTAGGCGACTAGAATAAAATATCTCAATGATGTATTTATGCGTCACGATCAAATCATTGAGAATTTCATAAAAATGAAAAATATGTGTTGGGGTTTATCATATTTGAGTGAGAATTTGATAAATGAATGGAAGAGAGTACAAGATTTTTAAATAGCAATATTTCAGTTGCTAAGTATGGAATTACCCCCTTAATATTTTATGTGGCTAAAATTAAAATATTGATTAGGATTTTTAGGCATTTATATACATAGCACACAATTCTTAGGTATATACATATCTCACAATTAAATAAAAAAAAAATATTTCATCTGTCAAACGACATACGAAATATGATATGGATTATATCACATCATGTATCAGCGACATGATGCACATCATGTATCGGCGACATGATGTGACCATCGTCTACACGTTCTACAATAGGACATGATATTTTTTCAGCATAAGAAAATAACAGATTTTTAAAAAATAGAATATCTTTTTTTTGTTCTATCAGTTTAAAATATCAAAAAAAATATGAAAAATTAGGTGTGAGATATACAAATAGAGAAGATTTTATTTAAATTTTTAATTTTATTTTGGATGATTTTAGCAGTGTCGAATTTTCTCGACCGAATGAAGCGCAGTTAGTCGACCATCTCGTGGTTCCAAACCCTAGACAATCTTCCTCTGCTATCGCCCTCACTTAATCCCCAAAATTTGATCCCGCCATGGCTTCCGGCAGCAAGACAGCGCTTCTGTTTCACCCATCCTCTTCAAATTTGAGCGCGAGGATCCACCCGGTGGTGCTCTTCAACATATGCGACTCTTACGTTCGGCGGCCAGACCAGGCCGAGAGGGTAATTGGAACACTACTTGGCTCCGTCTCCGCCGATGGGATCGTGGAGATTAAGAACTCTTACGCCGTCCCCCACAACGAATCTGCCGACCAGGTCTTCTTCCCCAACTTTCCGTTTTTTATTTTGTAGTTTTTTCTTTAGGGTTTTTGGTTTTGTTTGAACGCTCCTCTTTTTTTTTATTGTTTCAGTTGTGTTGTCTTGTGACTTGTTTTCTGAAGTTCGATTGTTTCCATTGTTTGGTTTAACATGCTCTTGATACAGAAACGGAGTTGTTTCATTCTTTGTGCCGTTTATGCTAAGCCTCTTCATGATATTCCTGGCGTTGTTAATATGACAACTCAAGCCAGATATTGCCCTGTTTTTCCTTGCATATTTATTCATTTACACAAGATCAAACCTGGATTGAACATAAACTTGAGCTGTAGAATCTTGCAAGTTTTCTTTATAGTTGATTGTCGTAGACTCTTAATAGAGGTTGACTAAATTTTTTTTTTTATGTTGTAATTGTTTATTTGAACTGTCTGGTCATTGAATATTAGTCTATTGAAAGAATTTACATGATTGAACTTTTTTTGGTTTTACATTTTTAGTGCCGGAAATAATTTAAATGTAGTAAGTTATAACCAATTCATGTTTCTTTTGCTGTACCTTTACTAATATCATTTCTAGAAGTGTTGAAAATGAGCATCATGCAAAAATGTGGATAAGTTTATAAACAATTTGGCATGAGTTAACATTAAGTAAAACAGTTTTTGAGAATCTTATCATGATACTTGTGCTAAGCATTAGTTTATTTTGACATAAGTGTTTTGAAGTGCTTGGAATTAAATTCAAGAGACGAGTTTCACTTTTTTTAAAAATTTTTTGAGTGAATTCCTATTTCAGAATAAATCTTTATAAATACGGGAAGGGAGTATCACTTTTGAGGGCTTCGATGACACCTTCATATTTTTTTTCTTTTTTGCTTAGTATAATATAATAATTTAAAATAAGTTGTCTGGTGTAATATGGATATCCCATGTTCTTGTTTTTTCAAAAGACCTCTATAAATATGGACATTACATTGCTTCTATCAACCAAGCTTTACATTAATAAGTGATCTATGCATTGGGAACACCCATTCATAATGATTAAAAGGTAAAAATCATTTAGGTCTCTGAGATTCATACCACTTTTCATTCATGCCAATATTTTAAACATTCTATGTTTTGATTCTCTTACAAATTGGTTTCTGAGGTTGAATGCCTGGCTTTATACAAGTCATTTTTTGCCAATAACGTTAAGTTTTCCTTTAATGTAGCTTAAATGATTCAAATTTTGTACCTATATTTAAATGGTGTAAATTTTTGTTGCCAAAATTCTATCATTCATATTTCTATATTGGCTCCTAATGTGAAATGTATGTCTTCATAGATCTACCCTCTTCTAACTTTTTATGCCTTTATAGGGTTAGGCCTCTTCTTTTAGGATCCATTAGAGCGCTTGGAAGCTGTGGTGCATAGCATTGCTGTCTTTTAGTAGTGGTTTATGCCATATGGGTCAAGTAGCTCTGTATCCGATCATCATTGATACTGGACTAGAGCATTCCATGAAATAACGCTTGAAAACTACAACCACCACTAGAATAACATGAAGAAAGAGTGATGCAAGGGAAAGTGTAGTGGTGACTGAAGATATAAGAGATTTTGATTCATCACAAGAAAGTGGAGAGAGTGTTACTAGCTTTAATGTCAGTTGGAACTGGAGCTTTTAAATACCAAAATCCATCTTTTTTTTTCCCTTATAGTATGAGTTTGATATTGCCATTTCACAACTGTTATGGTTTTTTATAGATGTTTTCTTTATGAAAGTAATCATTAGTTTTGACATAGTTTATTTATTCAATAAGAATCAATTGATATATTTTTTTTTTCCATTCACCCACTTCTCAGAGCTTGCTTTATCTGACTAAAATACAAGTAGGACCGCATAGGATCTTTTTTCATTATTTTTTCTTCGACCATATTGAAGTTCTATGAAAGCAGTGGGAAGAGTAGTGATGGATTACAAAATGATGTAGAAGAAGATAGAGTAGAACCTGTGGTGGCAACGATTTGTGGCAAAGAGAATGGAGTAGTTGATGAGATTTTAGGAGTTGGAGAGGATGGAGGAGTTAGTGAAAGGGAAGGAACAAGGGAAGGTGATGAAGGGAGGCAGAAAGGAAGTGCTGGTGGGGTAATGAATGAACTTTCATAATGAAATAAAGGAAATATGTTAGGGTTTTTTTTGTCTAGTCTCTCTTAGTTAACGATTTTATTAAGGGAAGAATCATTATGGAAGTCTTGTATATGAAGCACCAAATTGGAGGAATTTTTAAAGAAATGGGCTTACATGAAGCATGATATAAACTTTAGAGACTAGAATTATACTTATTGTAATAATTAAGATAAAATTTAATGCTATGATGGGCGGACAAACATTTGATCTCACCTTCAATTGTTTTTAAATGCTTAAATCAAAGCAAATTAGTTATAAATCAGTACACTCAAGAATTTAAGTAAGCACACCTGTGTTTGAACTTACATGGCCATATTAATTAATAATGTTCAAAACTTCTAAGTTTTATTTATTTGCACAGTAAATGACCATAAAAGAAGCGTAACTAAGCTAAGCACTATAATTTTTGTCAAATTGGATTACTTATGCTTTTTTGTCTTACTTCTAAAGAGGCCATATAAAAATTATACTCAATCTTCAAGCTATTTCTTAAAATTGGGGCAGAACTAGAATTCATAGATGGGGCGAATTGAAAAATCAACTAAAATATATTAAAATTAAAACTTTTTAAAAAATGAATGAACTATTGAAATGAAATGAAAAAAAATTGCTTTCTTCATGAAATTTAATCCATCATTCATTTAATATATATATTAAAATTCATTGCAATATTATTTTTACCATATATTATCAGTGAACTCGCAATAAAATTATCTTTTATTTTATTCTGTAATTGTCTTGACAATGTTCATAGTTGAAAATGTCAGTTTAGTTGTTATTGGTGAAAACATATATTATCAGTGAACTCGCAATAAAATTATATTTTATTTTATTCTGTAATTGTCTTGACAATGTTCGTAGTTGAAAATGTCAGTTTAGTTGTTATTGGTGAAATCAATAGTGTCATAATCAATCTAATTAAACTTATATTAAGAGGGTATATGACTGATTTTCTTAACGAACATTTGTTATAAATGGCAGAAATTGGTAAGAGTTTTTTTTAGTGTAATGATCTTCAATATTAAAAATTTAAATGCTCTAATTGAATTTGTAAGTATAATTTTTGTACTTTGTGTCTGTGAAAATAATTTTGAAAGTTGACAAATTTTGAATTATCAATACCTATCTCGAAGATCCAATGCATAAGTGAGAAAAAATAGTTCCACAATATTTTCTTTAAATCTGTTATTCATCTCTCGTAGATGCGCATCTAAAATAACTATAAAACATCAACTTTAAAATGATGTTCTATTATAATGCTATCTTCCACAATATTTTCTTTAAATCTTTTATTCATCTCTCGTAGATGTGCATCTAAAATAACTATAATACATCAACTTTAAAATGATGTTCTATTATAATGCTATCTTTTTGTATGACAATGTGTTCTTGACCTCTAGAGGAAGGAGTTTTCATCTATATATATACCATTTTTCACTAAATAATTTCATCTTTTGGAACCAAAAAAAATCATCATGATATGCTTAAATTTAAAAGAAGATATTTAGTTGGTATTAAATACATTGTATTCAAGATGTCTTGTGATTTTTTTCCAATGTTTGACAAAAATTATCTTTAACTTCCAGAATTTTTATCATAAGAAGCAAAATAAAATATAAAATCAAATGAGGTCATTATATCATAAGCTCCATTTGCTTCATTTCTTTGACTTGGTGAATTTTCTTCTTTAATAACTTATTCTGAAACAACATAGGTGTATGACTAAATACATTGTATTCAAGATGTCTTGTGATTTTTTTCCAATGTTTGACAAAAATTATCTTTAATTTCCAGAATTTTTATCATAAGAAGCAAAATAAAATAAAAAATCAAATGAGGTCATTGTATCATAAGCTCCATTTGCTTCATTTCTTTGACTTGGTGAATTTTCTTCTTTAATAACTTATTCTGAAACAACATAGGTGGTATCATACATAATCATCAAACTATGGAGAGAACTATACTTGACTACTCTTAGCTAATGTTATAAGATCACCACACACTCAAGTTGTCCAAATATAAGTAATTTTTGTTGTTTTAAAGATGATGGTAAAAGTGAGGGCATAGAACTTTGAAATGCACTATATTAATTATTAATCACAATTAAGTAAACAAAAAAGAGCAAGGAAATAAACTAAATTACAGAAATCCTGACAAACAACAAAAACAGTATTTAATTCCTATAGGCTCTTAAATCGCTCTGTTAAATCCTGCCAAACAACAACAATGACTTGTATAAATTCTACAAGTTCTTCAGTTCCGTTTTTCCTCTATTTTGCATTAAATATAGGATTTAGTAAATATCTTTGGAAGACAAATTTATGGTTTTAAACGTGAAGGCTGGTAGGAAGAAATGGGAGAAAGATGACGTTTGCCTTTCTCAATGATTTTGGATATGACCATACGAGCAGAGACAACAAAAGGAGAAAGATTGGTGTTTTCAAGGTCTTTGTATGCCATAGTCTTATCTTTTTTTCCGATCTAGGTGTTAGTTCTAATCACAATTGTATTGCGAGGGGTTGTCAATTATATTGAGCGAAACCGGTATTGGGAGATTTGGGACGGAGGTTGTAAGGTGAAGTAGGTAGGGGGGAGAGGAGAGGGGGCATGGTTCACACACACACACACACACATGTATGTATATGCATATATATCCATATGCACACACACACACATATAGTGAGAGAGAGAGAAGAGAGAGAGAGAGAGATACATGTATATATAGAGATATTTACATATGCATATATGGGACAGTTAGTTTCAATATATAGGACAGTCAGTTTCAATGTATTTATTTAAAATCTAGGGGGCGACTGCCTTCTCAACTCCTTTTGGTTCCACTAGTCTTTAAATGAAGAGACATGTAAATAAAATCTTCAGCATAAAAAAAAAACAAAAAGCCTTACTCGTCAAAGGTTTCTTTTGCATTTCTGTGATTACAGATAATGTCGGTAAACTCAACTAATTTTCTTCTTCTTAAGTAAGGCTATTATATATTTTAAAATTTAGCTTTGTTTGGATGTAGATTCATATTTGTTTGATATTAACTTCTTCTTGTTGGCTCTCTGCAGGTCGCTTTGGATATCGAATATCATCATACCATGTATGCATCACACCAAAAAGTTAACCCAAAAGAAGTCATTGTTGGGTGGTAATGATTATACCATGTTATATCTCGTTGATTATTGATTCCACTCTTTGTTC